GTAGTCCTAACCACTCGAGGGGCTCAGGCAGAAGAACCTCTTGAACACAGGAGGCGGAGGTTGCAGTGAGCCGAAATTGCACCACTGCACTCCAGCCTGGGCGTCAGAACAGACTGTCTCAAAAACAAAAAACAAAAAAACAAAAACCATTCATGTGCCAACGATTCACAAATCTGTAACTCTTAGCTAGACTTTGCAATCCAACTCCAAACTCCATCCATCCAGCTGTCTAGTCAGTATCTCCATTTGAATGTCTAATGGCAATCAAACTTCAAGATCAAAAAACGAATTCTTGATAGTCCCCCTAAAGCTCCTCCAGCTGCAGCCTTCCTCGTCTCAGTTGATGGCAATTCCATCCTTGCAGCTGGGCAGCCCTGAAACCTCCAGGTCTCCCCTGGCTCCTCGCTTTCTCTCACATCCCACATCCGATCCATCGGCAAATCCAATTGGCTCCACCTTCAATCAGGACCCAGGAAGGGATCCCTTCTCACCACTTCCAGCACTACCATCTTCATCTGTACCACTGTCATCTTTGATCTGGATTCTGCAGTGGCCTCCACACAGGCCTCCCTGCTTCCATCTTTACCCCTCCTAAGTCCCATCTCAATTCAACACCTAAAGAGAAACCAACTTTCAAAGCTCAAGTCAAGTCATACACACCCTCTTCAAAACCCTGCAACAGCTCATCACACACAGAGCAAAAACAAACATTTTTATGCCTCCAAGTTCCATCTAAAGGCGGAGCTGACATCCCTGCCCTCACCTTGTATTTCTCTCCCTGCTGCTCACCCTGCTTTGGACTCTTGGCTACTCCTTGTGGGCGCTAGACATGCTCCTGCCTCAGGGCCTTTGCACTGGCTATTCCCTCTGCCTAAAACACTCACTCTTTACCAGAGATCTGCACGACTGACTCAAATGCAAGGACATCTCAAGAAGCCCCTCCCTACCTACTCTATTTAAAATGGCAATTTCTTCCTTTAACACTGTACCATCTCCTCTCCCCTGAACTTTTTCTTTTTTTTAATCACCAACCACCTTCTAACACAATAAAAAATTCATTTATTCTGATGATGTTCATCAACGATCTCACCTTGCTATAATATTGGTTATAAAAGGCCAGAGATCTTGGCCTGTTTTAGTACTGATATAACCCAAGTACATGGAATACAATACTCAAATATAATAAATAAAATACAAGACTGGGAAAGAAATGTCCCTTCAAACCTCTCCATCCAGGCAAGCCAGCTGTCCTCCAATTTACTGAAACCAGTGACTATTAACACCATGCTTCTGGTGAAATCTAACTCAGTTGAGATTCCTAGAAGGCACTCAATCCTCATTTCAATTTATTTTTTATTTTATTATTTTTTTGAGACAGAGTCTCGCTCTGTCACCCAGGCTGGAGTGCAGTGGTGCAATCTCAGCTCACTGCAACCTCTACCTGCTGGGTTCAAGTGATTCTCCTGCCTCAGCTTCCCGAGTAGCTGGGATCACAGGCATGCGCCACCACTCCCAGCTAATTTTTGTATTTTTAGTAGAGACGGGGTTTCGCCATGTTGGCCAGGCTGGTCACAAACTCCTGGCCTCAAGTGATCCGCCTACCTTGGCCTCCCAAAGTGCTGGGATTACAGGCATGAGCCACTGTGCCCGGCCTCAATCCTTCTTTCAAAAGATACTTTTGCATCACCATAAAAGTGACAAAGGCTGAACTTAGAAACTCGAAAGACACAGAAGAGGGTCTCCTGTCAAGGAAGAAGTAAGATTTTAATTTATGCTCATTTAGGATCAAGAAATATTGCTGTCATTCCACACATCTGCCTACTGTTTCTGGCTTTATTCCAAGTTGTCACTGTAGTCAACAAACATTTGAGAAAGTAAACTCTGAACCAGCCTGGCCTTCTATCGAAATGAGCCAGGAAATGATTCCAGCTGAGCGTAATGAATCACCCAAGTACAGTGGCAGGTGTGGTAGAGAAAAGGGTCTATTAGAGGGAAGTTGGGTTCTCAGTCCATTGCTATAAAGTCTGGACCTTAGACCACATTTTTGTTCTTCAGAGAAATAGTCATCATAATTTACACCTCAGTGTAGTTACCTTATTTAACACTAAACCCACTGGGCAGATCTTTACTCTTGCTCAGTTGGTTAAAGAAGGGGTCATAAATGGCAGAAAGACAGCTACTATTATGAATGAAAAACAAGTAACCTTTCCTCTCTAACTATTAGCACTTAACAGGCTAAAAGTGGCCGTCATGGCTCTTAAGCAGTCCTCTGCAGGGGACCAAGGGGTCTTCCAATGAGCTCTTTAAGATACTGGGTGTGCATGAGCAGGGTCTTCCACCAAGGCTAACCCACTTTGGGCATCTTTGTGCAGTGAGTTCCATATAAGACCCCATCGTTATCTCAAGGCATACTGAATACGGAGATCTAGAAAACCAACAGGGTCCGATGCTGTGGCTCACACCCATAATTCCAGCACTTTGAGAGGCTGAGGTGGGCTAATCACTTGAGGCCGGGAGTTCAAGACCAGCCTGGCCAACATGGTGAAACCCCATCTCTTCGAAAAATACAAAAATTAGCTGGGCATGATGGCACACATCTTTAATCCCAGCTACTCGGGAGGCTGGGACAGGAGAATCGCTTGAACTGGGAAGTGGAGATTGTAGTGAGCTGAGATCGCACCACTGCACTCCAACCTGGGCGACGGAGCGAGACTCTGTCTCATTAAAAAATAAATAAATAAATAATAAAAATAAAAATTGGAAAACGAACTAAAAAAAGTTTATTCATCACTAAAAGACAAGGGTCAAGAGGGGAATGAGGGAGACACATACACTGATGAAAATATTGGGGAAACGGGCCTTCCTATGATCATATGGTACAAATGCCTAAGGTCAGAATAGAAATAACAGAGGAATGTGCTTCTTATCTAGAGAAATATCTGAGCATAAAAAGTAATTAAACACATAGTGCTTTAGGCAGATTTAATATATACTAGAATATATAATATACATTAGAATTTTCACTCTTTAAAGATGACCAAAAAAAGAGTCTTCATTGTGCAAGCAAAACAACATCAAGTTATACACAGGAATAGACTCAGTGTGGCCGTGCTTTTTGCCTCTGCAATACTAAAGCCAGAAGACAATGGGTCAACATCTGCAGAAGGTTTGAAGAGAAAAAATATGACTAGAAAGCTCTGCCCAGCCAAGTTCTTGCTCGTGTATTAGAATAACAGATTGACACCATGAACTCTGCAAGGACTCAGAAAATGTACCACCCAAGGATGTCCCCTGGGGAAGATTATTGCTCAAGCTCGAGTTCCCAAACAACAAAAGGTGGATTGGCATGTTTAAGATCTCGAGATCAAGGAAATCATGGCTGAAGAGGCAGCAGGAGTATCACTGATGCCAACAATGGCTCCCATTTTTCAAGTGCTCATAAGTCCCAAGCGCTGTACTGAAAGTTGTGTGTATATTTAGCATCTCATTTGATTCTCAGAATAAGCCACTTGTGGCATTATCCCCATTTCTTAGATGAGAACACCAAGGTTCAGGGAGTTCAAGCAATTTGTCAAGATAACCTCGTTAGGAAGTGAGAGAGTTGGAATTTCAAAATGCATCTCAAATTGCTCAGGTTCCCTCAATTTATTTATTTTTAAAAATATCTATCATTTCCTATGCTTAATCATGTTTTCTAGTTGCTCTAAAAGAAGCATTCATTATTTCTGAAATAAGGCATTAATATGTCCTTTGTTTCCAATTAAAATACATCTAAAGACATAAAACAGGCCAGCGTGGTAGCTCACGCCTGTAGTCCCAGCACTTTGCAGGGCCGAGGCAGGTGGATGACCTGAGGTCAGGAGTTCAAGACCAGCCTGGCCAGCATGGTGAAGCCCCATCTCTACTAGAAATACAAAAAATTAGCCGGGCATGGTGGTGTACACCTGTAATCCCAGCTACTCGAGAGGTTGGGGCAGGAGAATCGCTTGAACCCGGGAGGCAGAGGTTGCAGTGAGCCGAGATTGTTCCACTGCACTCCAGCCTGGGGGACAGAGCAAGACTCTGTCTTTAAAAAAAAAAAAAAAAAGACATAAAAGAAATTACTCTAAAATGCTAAATAGGAAAGGATTGGTAAGAACATTGCAGAAAGATGCCTACATAAAGAAGGCAGGTAAGGCAATTATCAGTGCCAAATTATACGGAACTCAATAGAGTTCACCCTTGAACAATGCAGACGTCAGGAATGCTGATTTCCTGTGCAGCAGAAAATCTGCATAGAGTTTTTGGCTTCCCCAGAACTTAACTATGAATAACCTGCTGTTGACCAGAAGTCTTACCAATAACATTGTCAATTAATACATATTTTGTATGTTGTATGTATTATAAACTGTACTCTTACAATATAGCAATCTCAAGAAAAAATGTTATTCAGGAATTCATAAGAAAGATAACATATATTTACTATTCATTAAGTGGAAGGGAGTCATCATAAAGGTCTCATCCTCCTCATCTTCACGCTGAGTTGGCTGAGGAAGAGGAGAAAGAGGAGAGGTTGGTGTTCCTCTCTCAGGGGGGCAGAGGTGGAAGAAAATCTGAGTGTAAGTGAACTCACGTAGTTCAGATCTGTGTTGTTCAAAGGTCAACTATACTTTCGAATAGCATTAAGCAGAACCAGAGATATCCAGTATTTATAAAAGACACCCTCCACAGCAATCATGTAACAGTTATGAATTTATGCTCCAAATAACTTGGTAACTCATATGTCAAAAAAAGGAAGTAAAAGTTGTTTAAATGAACTGGAATGGGAAGTTTTCACATATGATGATCAAGCTCTGATGATCAAAAAATAAAGTCAAGAAGGATTTGTACTGCCACCTTCACTCCCCTCCAAGAAGGACCCACGTCACAACTGCCCATTCCCCTTTTCCAGCCAGACAATTGTGCTGACAAATGACTTTACCTTCAGGCAGTGGCGGGCGCGCTCACGGACAAGACCTCACCTGGAACGTTGTGTATAGTGATGGCCAAGATGAGCAGCGCGATCCTCCTCCAGCTGCTGCCACTGGGCTGTGCCAGGTTCCCTCGAGAAGGCACGGGGACAGCAGGACCCTCTGGAAGGCCAGTGGCTGCCGCTTTCTTTCTCTGATACGCCTCACCATTTTCACTCTTGTCTGAGCAAAAAAAAAAAAAAGAGAGAGAGAGAGATGGGGAAAGAGAGCGCTTTGAACATGGGCACATTAACTCTCCAGCAAGCTACAGCAGGAAGAAGCTTCTACCCCCGAACTTCCTGTAGACTCTGCAAGGTTCTGTGTGTTCTCTCATTCACTCAGGCATCCATTCATTCAGCGAACAATTCGTTGATGAGGCCGAGTATGGTGGCTCACTCCTGAAATCCCAACACTTTAGGAGGCTGAGGCAGGCAGATGGCTTGAGCCCAGGAGTTCGAGACCAGCCTGGGCAACATGGCGTGATCCCATCTCTACAAAAAATAAAAATAAAGAATTAGCTGGGCATGGTGGTATGCACCTGTAGTCCCAGCTACTTGGGAGGCTGAGATGGGAGGATGGCTTGAGCCCCGAAAGTTGAGGCTGCAGCGAGTTGTGATCGCACCATTGCACCCCAGCCTGGGTGACAGAGTAAGACCCTGTCTCAAAAAAGAAAAAGAAAAAGAAAAAGAAAAAAAAAAATCACTGAATAGGCATTCAGCGCCCAATGCATAGGTACCAAGAAGGATAAAAAAGATGAAGATATGGTATCGTAGCAATGCCTGTTTAAGACAAGCAATGTTGTCATGATTAGAAACACAGATTCCAGAACCATGCTGCCTGCTTCCCTTCCTGACTCAGCCACTGGTCAGCTGTGTAGCACCAAACAAGTTATTTCACCTCCCTGTGCTGTGGCTTCCTGATTCGTAAAACTAGAATCATAGGATTACCTATGTCATAAGGGTTTTGTGAGGATTAAATGTAACAATGTCTGAAAGTGCTTAGAATGTACTAAGTGCTGATTGTATCGATGGTTATTGTTACTATCATGTTCCCTCTCCCATGGCCCTGCAGAATTACATAATATGTGACCCTGCTCTCCTGGTCATACTGATTTATAGGAACCAATTCAGATGCCTGGTTCAGCCAATCAGAATCCCTCCCCAGGGAGACTTGGCGACTCCAACGTGCAAGCTGAATCTGAAAAATCACATGATGTGCCAGCAGCTCTGCCACAGTGGAATGAGGGAAGCGGCTGGAGAGACAATCAGAAGGAATCAGATATACATCAACAAGCAGAGATGGGAAACCAGGCAGCCCGAGGGAAGGAGAGAGAAGGGCAGAACTGCAGCCCACGTGCCATAGACATTCATAGGCCACCCATAGCACCCAGCCCTTGGGTTTCCTGAGCAAACCTTCCTTTTAAAAATGCCTTTACAAATTGGCTTATATTGGAAGAATGTCATTCTTACAACCAGCTTGTCCTAAATATCCATGGTCCCCTGGGCTATTTGTTTATTCATAATAGAGGCAAATTGCGTGGATCTGAAATTGCGAGGACAAGAGTAGGAGACAGCATCCAGCCTTCAGTTCACAGCATGGGATGGATTTGTGGGGAAGACTTTCTAGAGGAAATGGGTCTTGAGTGAATCTTAAACATGCGATGGCACAGAGAGAAAGAAGGGTCCCTCTATTGGGAGAGAAAATAACCCAGCAAACATAACTCACACGTCTGTTAAATTAAATAAGCAGGAGACTATTGGTCTGAAGCTGTACTTTGAGTTGCTTCATAGTGAACTACAGCCTAACTTAGTATGTATACAAATGAAAATCTCATTAGGAGTATATATTTTTTGTAATAGGATAGCTAGATCTCAGCCAATCACAAGCAGCCGAGCTTCAACCAATCACAGGTAGCCAAACTTCAGCCAACCACAGGCAGCCAACTGATGAGACTATGTCCAAATAAGGTAAATGCCTAACTGTAACCAGTTAAGCTATTTCTATACTTTATTTCCTGCTCGAACTTCAAAAAAGGCAGAGCTCTCTGAATGTCTTCTAGTTTTGAATGCTGCCTAATTCATGAAGCCTTTAATGCTTAAATAAATTTAAAAAACATTAAAAGAAAAAACTTCTTTTGAAAATCATTTTGTGGCCGGGCGCAGTGGCTCACACCTGTAATCCCAGCACTTTGGGAGGCCGAGGCGGGCAGATCACAAGGTCAGGAGATCGAGGCCATCCTGGCTAACACAGCGAAACCCCGTCTCTACTAAAAATACAAAAAATTAGCCGGGCGTGGTGGTGGGTGCCTGTAGTCCCAGCTTCTCTGACAGCTGAGTAGTGTGAACCTGGCAGGCGGAGCTTGCAGCGAGCCGAGATCGGGCCACTGGACTCCAGCCGGGGCAACAGAGCAAGACTCCGTCTCAAAAAAAAAAAGAAAAGAAGAGAAAAAAAGAAAATCATTTTGTATTTATTTACTCAAATCATACAAGTACAGATTGGAAAGTAAGAAAGTACAAGGCAAGTAGACGCACTCCTCCCCAGCTCCCAATCATTTCTCTCTTATTAACAGCTGGATCTCACTTCCATTAGGAAAAGGGAGGTCTCTGATCCTCCACAATGCAAGGATGCCAGTCCTCCATTGGTCAGTAGCCCTGACTCACAACACCAGCCTGTGGAGAATTCAGCTGTCTCAATTGGATAGCAACTCCTCCCAGACAGTGTTTACACGAGGCGAAGCTCCACACTCATTGTGTGGTATCCACACCATGTGTATGCATATATGTGTGTGTGTGCATGTGTGTATGTGTATGTGTGTGTGGGTGCATACAACTGCTACTTAGTGACATCCTGAGATATTAGATCTCCTTTGTGTATGTATGCATTTATCTAGTAAGACGTTCTCAGTCTGAGGTTCTTGAATCCATAAAGACCCAACAATTATTTCAAAAGTGTGTATTTTTTGCTGGATTGTAACTTTCGCTGTACTTTCAAAGGCGGTTGCTGATCCCAAATGGTGCACACAAGCGGAGAGGGGGGTTCATACATTTCGAGTAGACAATATGTAGATGACTCAGGCTGCACATGCTGGTCGAGAAATTGAACTAAACATCTGGGATTTCAAGCTCACAGACACTAAAGACATGAGCAAAGCAGTCCCCGAGAGCTGTCCATGAACTAACCTGGGTCATGGTGGAGGGTCCTCAGCTTTCTCCTAGGTCAGTCAGCAAAGATTCCTGATTTCCTGTGTCTGGTCTGAACACACAGGCCTGCGCTAGATGCTCTCCAGTGAGAGTTGATAGAGGCCAAAAGAAAAATCTCTTCTCTTGGAGACTTTTGATTGATTGATTGATTGATTGAGCAGGGTCTCACTCTGTTGCCCAGGCTGGAGTGCAGTGGTACAATCTCAGCTTACTGCAGCCTCCACCTCCCAGGCTCAAGCAATCCTCCCACCTTGGCCTCCTGAGTAGCTAGAACTACAGGTGCACGCCACCATGCCCAGCTAACCTCTGTATTTTTTTTTTTTGAGACAGAGTCTGGCTCTGTCACCCACGCTGGAGCACAGTGGTGCGATCTCGGCTCACTGCAAGCTCCGCCTCCCAGGTTCCGCCATTCTCCTGCCTCAGCCTCCCAAGTAGCTGGGACTACAGGTGCCCGCCACCCCGCCCGGCTAATTTTTTGTATTTTTAGTAGAGACGGGATTTCATCATGGTCTCGATCTCCTGACCTCGTGATTCACCCATCTCAGCCTCCCAAAGTGCTGGGATTACAGGCATGAGCCACCGCGCCCAGCCTTCTGTATTGTTTTTTTTTTCAGTAGAGATGGGGTTTTGCCACATTGACCATTCTGGTCTCAAATTCCTGGACTCAAGCGATCCACCTGCCTTGGCTTCCGAAAGTGCATGAGCCACTGCACCTGGCCCCTTGGGGATTTTATAATTTAAGAGAGGGTAGACAGGGAAGACACACATAAATTCCCTCCAATCTAAGGGGCAAAACACACACTGTAACAATCACCAACGGTTGCACTTGTTTTTGTCAATGTCACAAAAGGATCCTACTCTCAATCTCCTCCAGATGCTACACAGAGAACAACAGACTTCAAAGGCACCACGAGCAAATTCTAGCGCTATGCTTGTGTTTCATAGGAACATCAAGGAGCATAAAGAGTTCTTCCTCAAAATTAAAACGCACGCCTGGCCCCGGGCTTCCAGTGTGTGAAAACTGACGTCAATGCCTTCCCTAGTAGGAAACAGGAGGGTGTGAATGCCTCACGTCCTTGTGAAAGTTAAATAAGCCACCATTTGGTGACAGCCACTAATGAGTCTGCAACAAGGAAGATTAGTCCAAATAAATCATTACAGAGTATGATGCGTCGTGAGCAATGAATTTTCTTGCCTCTCCTGGTAAGGCTAGTTCAACCATCACACCCATCAAGTAAAATGCTAGCGCGTGGGAAAAGGATGATCCGTTAGCAGAGGCAATTGCCAAGCACACTGTGGGATGTGAGGGTGTGCCAGAGTGACAAGAACCTCGTGAGGTTTCTTGAAATGGGAAAGGTTTAGGCACTTTTGAAGTGGGATTTGGGAAGGAGGAATAGAAGGGGGACTATTTCTTTTAGGGATGAAATAGCCAATGTCAAACGCAGAAGCAAAACAACATCAGAGACACTGGTTCACAGGTAATATTGGGAACTTATCTTCAATGAGTCCTCAATCCTTACAAAAGCCCCACGAAATAGAGATTAATCCCCTTTAATGAATGAGTAAATTGAAGAACAGAGAGGCAGAGTAACTGGTCCCAGGTCACACAGCCAGTCTGCAGTGGACTCAGGAGTTGACTCAGCATCTTGGCCTCCAGAAGCCCCTCTTTTAACTAGGGCCTCATGGTTGACTGGGGATGAAGGGGGTGGGAGGGGTGGAGCAAAGGCTGAACTGCTCATGGCTTACCAGAAAACGTAGTGGGAGCAGTTGCTGCAGTGAGAAAGAGTCTGATGAGCTCTCACTGCCTGTGACCAGAGTGGGGAAAGACTCAGAGGAAATCTCGTATCTATGATCATTCTTACTTGTAGACAAACCTGAAACATTTTGTAATAGTAGTATTTCTTTTTTTTTTTTTTTTTTTTTTTTTTTACACACCCTTAAAAATTTTTTATAATATATTTTTTTTTTTTTTTTTTTTTTTTT